TATCATCAACTCCTCCATCCTGGGTATCATCATCATCTGAAGACTCTCCATCAATGATTTGAGAATCTGGCCGAGCCCAATCAGTCCCCGGGTTTAGCTTAGCATGATGAGCCCTCAGCCTTGCAATGTACTCAGACCCAGAGATCAAGCCCTCATTCTCCTCTTTCCTTAGCTTCCTCAGACGGTTGACACTAGCTATATCAATGTTTATCTGTTTCTCTTCTTCATCCTCCCAGGCGGCTTCTCCCTTTCTAGTTTCCACAGCTTGACCATTCTCTTCATCATCATCATCCTCGTAATCCGGAATCTGCCTCACAGCAGAACGGTCTACATGAAACAAAGCCGAACCATCTTCTTCTTCTTCCTTACCAAACGTAACAGGTGAGTAGAGTGACCCGAATATCAAATTCTCAAGCTTTTTCATTTCAACCAGCTCCGATTCTTCTAGCTTCTCCTTCTCCTTATCTGTCTTTCTTCTCTTTCCCCTAGTGAGATCATCATCGGACCCAATCTCTTCCCCATCTGTGTACTGTTTCTTGAGCTCCTCTCTTTTCTTAGCCTTACTTGTCGGAGCATTCTGAGATAAGCTCATCTTTCAATACCACAAATCCACTGCTGCATAAAACAAACAACAACGATAAGATTCGCAGCCAAGCTCGTTATCAATCGGTAATTAAACCCTAATTTCGAGAAGGATTACTACAGAAGCTACTACTTTGACCTAATTCATGCACAAATCTTATCCAAGCTCGTTATCAATCGGTAATTAAACCCTAATTTCGAGAAGGATTACTACAGAAGCTACTACTTTGACCTAATTCATGCACAAATTTGATTACAATGAAGAAACAGGGAACAACTTACAACGTTGACGAGCAGAGAAACCTTGTAGCGGCGAGAGAGCTTTTCTTCTGGTTGGATTTTTTAGGGTTTTACAATTTCATTTTCCAAAAAAATTAAAAAAATAGTAATTGGAACGTTTCGTTGTAATAACCTTTAATGGGTCAACGGGTTTTATGCCTCTTGAAAAAGCCCATGGGCCAAGCCAGGTGAAAGAACAATGTCACTTTCGTAATTATCGCAAAGTATATGCCTTGTTTCATCAGATTCCATTTGCCCAATAAAGTCCGAGATTCGAGAGTTAATATCTCATTGGTGCTTTTGGTTTAGCAAAGCGTGAGATCGGAAAGCAGACATCGCCTCCGTCTCTCATTCCTTCCTCCGCCGCCGCGATGGAATCTCCGAAGAATTCTCTGATCCCGAGCTTCCTCTATTCATCATCTTCATCCCCGAGATCCTTCCTCCTCGACCAGGTGCTGAATTCCAACTCCAACGCTGCATTCGCCTCCTCCAATCTCGAGAAATCTCCTTCTCCGACGTCGATGATTTCTCGGAAGAATTTCCTTATTGCGTCTCCCACCGAGCCAGGGAAGGGGATCGAGATGTATTCACCTGCCTTCTACGCTGCTTGTACCTTCGGTGGAATTCTCAGCTGTGGTCTCACTCACATGACCGTGACTCCTCTCGATCTCGTCAAGTGCAATATGCAGGTATGTAACCTTTAGATCCGTTGTCTTTCGTATGTTTTCTGAGCTCATGTTCGCGGATCTGTGTTCCTGTGTTGCTTAGGTAGTGAGATCTGCGTTTTCGCCTTGTTTTCGTGGTTTGATAGATCTGTGATTTGATTTTCGTTATCGCTTTGTTATTTCCCTGACTATTGGTTTTGTGTTGGATTCCATTATCTGAAGAATTGTTTCATCCATTTCCATGTTTATATATGAATCGTTCTATTTCAATATACGTTGATCTGGTCTGAGTTCTGGTCCTTCTTTTGTTAGTTGACGTGGTATGTGTGGAATGGTTCACTTGGTCTTGTAATACTGATATTTCTTGTTATCTAGATTGATCCAGCGAAGTACAAGAGCATTTCTTCTGGTTTTGGAATTTTGCTGAAAGAGCAAGGTGTCAAAGGCTTTTTCCGTGGATGGGTTCCTACTCTTTTGGGGTACAGTGCTCAGGGTGCCTGCAAGTTTGGATTCTACGAGTACTTTAAGAAGACTTACTCTGATCTTGCTGGACCTGAGTACACTGCCAAATACAAGACTCTCATCTACCTTGCTGGTTCTGCTTCTGCTGAGGTCATTGCCGATATTGCACTTTGCCCATTTGAAGCTGTGAAGGTTCGTGTTCAGACACAGCCTGGATTTGCCAGGGGGATGTCTGATGGATTTCCCAAGTTTATCAAGTCCGAAGGATACGGAGGGTGAGTTTTTCAATACCAATAACATTATATCCCTTGTTACTGCTAGCCTTTTGTGTCTGATTTCTTGCTTTTTGCAGCTTGTATAAGGGTCTTGCTCCACTCTGGGGACGTCAGATTCCTTGTAAGTTCTGGCCTCTATTTTGCAACCTCTTGCAAAATTTCTTTTCTTTTTTTTGTTTAGTCATGAGGCATATGTAATTCTCTAAAAGCAAAGTGTGGTGATGATATCTACGAATTTTACAGACACTATGATGAAGTTTGCTTCCTTTGAGACCATTGTTGAGATGATCTACAAGTACGCAATCCCCAACCCGAAGAGTGAGTGCAGCAAAGGTCTGCAACTCGGGGTGAGTTTTGCAGGAGGTTACGTTGCTGGAGTGTTTTGTGCAATCGTTTCTCATCCAGCAGACAATCTAGTGTCATTCCTCAACAACGCTAAGGGAGCAACCGTTGGAGATGTAAGTCACTATGTTTGAATACAATAGCCAAAAGCTAGAATGGCTGCGTTCTGGTAGTTGTATACAAAGAAACTATTGATTTCTGTTGCGGTAGGAATGATATTCAATTTTTGTAAATTGCAGGCGGTGAAGAAGATAGGTATGGTGGGACTGTTCACAAGAGGGCTTCCTCTAAGAATTGTGATGATCGGGACATTGACTGGAGCACAGTGGGGATTGTACGATGCCTTCAAAGTTTTTGTTGGCCTGTAAGTTCCTCTCTCTCTTCACTTACTTCCTTACCTTAATACCTTGAGAATGCAAAACTCTCAATTCTTTTAATCTGGTTCAGGCCAACCACTGGTGGTGTTGCTCCAGCCCCTGCCATCGCAGCTACTGAAGCCAAAGCCTAACAATGACGAAAAAGGGTTAGGAGTTCGATGGGGTAGGATTTTTGTTTGGAAAAATAAGAGAAACCATACGGTAATGAGGAAGAGTGAGTAAGCTCAAACTCTTCCTGATTTGAACTTTATCATTTTTGTTTTTGAAATTTGTGTTCCTGAATTCAGGATAGTGCTCTCTCTCTTTACATACTCTCTGCCTATTGTTTCTTGTCCTTTTTTTGTTTATGTGATGTAATCTTAAAGATGAGAGGGACACACTCTAGGATAGAGAGAGTGGGCACACCCACTTACTACTTTTTATTCGGTTTCAGTTGAAATTCTCTTTTGGTTGCTCTTCTGTTTCATTTTAGTTGCTCATTTTTATTTTGCTTTTTTTGTTTGTTTCATAGATTATATAAGCATCTTGTCTTTTTTTGTCATCATCAAATCATATGTAGATAGATACTGAATACCACAAATCAAATGTAAAGCGCTAACATAATGCATAAATAATTAATAAACCTAAGAAAAAAATAATATCGTCCACCGTGGGGCGAGCTCAGGGCCGGCCCATGGGTAAAGCCCATGAAGCAAGGGCTTTAGGCATCAAATAATTATAAGTAGTTTTAGGGGCATCAATTTTTAAAATGTTACTGTGGTCTAGTGGTTAGATTGAAGTCTTTTGTTGTACAGGTCACGGTTTCGAATCCCACACATGTTAAAACTTGTATTTTTTTTTTTTATAACAGCTTTTGTTAATGGGCCAAATTTTTTTTTGCTTTAGGCACTCAAATAGTTTGGGCCGGTCCTGGGCGAGCTAGACGGGCTTCATTCCTCAACTAAGGTATTTAAACTGTTGTACACAATTAACAGATGTACCATTGTAATTGGATGGCTCCAACAACAAACCATTTGTCCTCAAACCAGTTTATAAACCTAGTGTTAACGCTGTGTTTGCTTGATTGATTATTGTTTTTAACTCTACTCTGATAGTTGTGTAACGCGTCTTGAACTCTTGATAAACATGGCAAAAGCTGCATTATTCCAACCCAGAAAAATCAACTTATCTGACTAGTAGAGTGTAGAATATTATTTTCAATTTTTCAAAAAGCAAAAGAGATAGATAGATAGCCAGATTTCAAATGCCTAATATGATATCTATAAATTTTGTTAAAATCATCTTAAAAGTATCGACTTATTTATAAAATTATTCCTCATTTTTTGAATTTATACAGGTTTCTGAAAAAAAAAAAAAAAAAAAAAAAAAAAAAAAAACAAATTAAAAGGTTTCTAAGAAATGTTCCATATGAAGGCTTTGAAGAAGTCTAATTATTACCTTCTTCTATATGTTGTTCGTAACAAACTCAAAATTCACTTGAACACCTGACCAAACACATCCCTAATAAGTAATAACAAACCTAGGCTTTTTTTTTGCAGCATATAACAAACTGAGTCTTTTGCTCGCTTATACTAAAAAATACCATCATACGATAAAGGGATCAAGACATGCTAAGTTTTTAAGGGAATCACAAATCTGAAAGTTTTCAGGGAATCACGGATGATAAAACATATAACAATTTATGCAATCACAATGGCATCAACATAGCAAACATACACCCCCAACAACTCTACTAAAACCTCCTTTTCCAACTTCAACTAAAGAAAACATCACAATTACCAAAACAAACAAAAACTTATAAGCCACAATACCTAACCAATAACCAGACTAGATTCTACAACAAAAAATGTGAGATTCAGAGACTGCAAAGCAAACAGGCAATGAAACTAGACAGAAACAAACACAAGTCACACAGCAAAGATAACCAAAATGGGTAAAAGCAAATGCTGACAAAACCATAAAAAAAAAAAAAAAAAAAAAAAGGGGCAGAACCCAGATAAAAGAGAACTCCATGACTATGCTCTGACAAAGAGATTAAGCAAAACCAAAATAACTCTTTGAACTATGTCCTCTGCAACACCAAAATTAAATTGTGTTCTCTAATTCTTACAAGTTTTGAAACTTTGTTTAAGTGTCAAACACAAAACAGCACCGTACCAACCTTTCTCACCTTCATATCACTAACTTAACGCTTCTTCTTGCTGCTTGCCTTTGATACGTTGGACTTAGGTGTTGCCACCAAGTATATGAACAAAACCACCATGGAGATCACGGAGACGAGTGATCCATATTTCGCCAGCAACCTCTGCAACAATTGAAACACGGTAATATGAGAACTGATATATATATATATTTGATGATTTCACTGGGAAGTGAGAATTACACATCGAGTTACCTTGGCCTGAGATTATTTTTGCAGCATCAAGAGCAACATCCAAGACACAACACAAGATAGCAATGAAAGTCAATAATGAGAAAAGAAAAAAAAACTCCGAGTAGATGATTGAAAGAACAGTCCTTAGAAGGTCAAATTTACCACGTCCAAAATTTTCGTTGGAGGTTTGTCTGCGAGGATGTCTAGAGGTAGTAGTGGAGTTGAGTACGCTTCCTACAAACAAGAAAACCATAATACACGATTGCATCACATAAGCAGATTTTTAGAAAACCAATGGCCACAACAAGAGAAAGTACTTCTGATAAGAAAGATTAATTAGAGAGGTTTATACACTCATAAAGCTTAGTTGCTTCTACCAATTCAAAGAAAAAGAATGAAGGGCGCGCTTATGAATGGCAAACCTGAAGAGCTGGCTTTGTAGGGATACGGAAAGTAACGACAGCAGGAGCACCGTAGAAGACTCCTTTAACCTTGGCCTCCAGTTCGAAAGAATGAGACAAGATACCTCCTCTACACACCAAATATCAGATAGTGACGGAAGGAAAAGCTAAAGCAGCCTCTAAAACATTTATAATTCAAGGAAGAAACTCACGCATCAAGTCTTTCCCATGATTTCGAAGTGTTTCCATTAACAACCTCAAAAGTAGCTTTATCCCAGCTATTATCTGTCAGAGTCACATCATACGCCGTCCTGAGATCAAACACCAAAAATATCTGACACAATTAGCCAACATTCATGAAAAATCTCATAGTAATCGTAGCAGGCAGATACGAAATTCACAAACCAAATCCAAAATTCTGAGGAACAATGAGATCAGATCAAATGGCGTTTCGTTTACTAGCAACTGATATACATACGTTAGATCTAAAGATATCTCAAGCATAATCTCCAAATCTACATTGACCAATCTCTCCATGCAAATCAAAAACTAACACGGATCGGAAATGAAATCGGAGAAATCAAACGGATTGGGAAAAAAAACTAGATGTGAGATAGAAAACTAACGAGGATCCTTGGTTATAGATGTCGTAGGAAACGGAGACGCGTTCGGCGCCAGATTTGAGCCTGTTGAGAGTGGCTTTCTTGTGAACCACCATGAACGGAACTTCCGAGGTCGCAAACGAAGCAGAAACAAGCATGAATACCGCCATGGCGGAGATCAGAAGCTTAGATAAAGCGATGGCCATGGTTTGTGATCTCCGACGCTGAAGTTGTTAAGCAGATGCGGAAACAGATCTACGAATGTTTTCTTCCGCTCAAGATACCTCCGACGACGATATTAATCACCACCACACCACTACCACCCAGCAAACAAAAAGTCAATGATGGGCCCAATTGTTTTTTACCTACTAATGGGCCTACTTACAAAGGCCCATTCTATTAATAAACTTTGCCAAGTGTGTTAGTAGAACAATGAAGATAAATCAACTTGTAACAAACAGCCTGTCACCTGCCACAATCTTACATGTTTCTTCTCTCACACCACATTTAGATTGGATCCATATACTCCCTTGTACTTATATAATCATAGATAACATTTTCTATTAATTGTCTCGTTTAATAATAAAGTCTCTTGAGAAAATGGTTATAGTAGCCAACGATTCATTTCAGTCAAAAGACATATTGACCCAAATTAATGGAGGTTTTGTTACCATAATCTCATTTTCATTTCTAATAATGTATTGGGATGGAGTAAGAAAAGAGGGTAAAAACTAAAAAAGTTGATTTGATTCAATTAATCAAGGTGGCGGGAAAGTTAAGGAAAGAAGTCAACGAGGAAGGAAGTACTAAAACTAAAACCGGCCGAGAGCCAATAAAAATTAGGCAAGTGGGGGAATATGAATTCACAGGTACCCGTAAGAAACATAATTAAAACTTGGATTAAACCGAAAGGCATGTGATTTTCCTTTGTTGGTTAATTAAATCACGTATATCTATTTTGCTCGTTGAAATAGAGATCGAGCATGTGGAGGGATTGCATCGAACTCTGAAACCTGAGTGAATCTTCTCTTCCCATCATCACATGCTTACTTATCTCTTCTGGTTAGCTCTCTGAGATTCTATCTTCCAGATTGTTCTTTTTATATTTTACTTAAAGCTTCCAAAATTAATCCGGATCTATCCGATTCAGGTTGTTCCAAAACCTCCTTATTTTGACATATATTTGTCAATATATATTGTTTAGGATGCTTCTGTGAGCAAGAAAAAGCATAGCAGAGAGAGAGAGAGAGAGAGAGAGAGAGAGAGAGAGAGAGAGAGAGAGAGAGCATGGGGTGTGCTACATCTACTAATGCTGTTGTGGGAAGGAAGAACAAGAAGAGGATCATTCAAGAATCTGTAGTTTTTGTTCTGCAGTTCCGTGTTCCTGTTCAGTCTGATCTTCAGCGCCAACTCAAAGGCGTTGCTCCCAAGACAACCATTGATCGGTTGTCATGTCTAAGGAATCAGATTGAGTTGGTAGCTGAGGACACAGGTATAGAGAGATTAGAGACCATCTTCTTCCCTTTTTCTTGCGTCTTAAGACAAAAGGTTTCCATCTTTTCAAATGCAGGGGGTTCTGCCATCTCTGAGTTGCGTACAGCTTTGGAGGAGTACTTGTGTCTTCTAACCGGTCTTATCAAGAACAGTTCGGGTTTGCAAATTTTGATTGACTTAACAATTAGTGTCTTGTTAGTATAATCAAATGGTGATATCAGAATATTTTTAACACTACAGAGAATGATGGAACGGAGGGCTGCGTGGAGTTCAAATGGAGGACCCTTGGAGATGGTCCACGAGTAAGTTCGGTTTTCGCCTAAATTAAGCAGACTCTAAGGTTATGTTTGTTCTTAACTATGTGAAGGTGTGTATACAGGAAGAGATATGTTGCACAAACCTTTGGATGGAGATGTTGATAGTGATCCACATGATGGCTGCTTTGGCATTGACTGAAGCTAACTCTCTCATGATTCCAAAGAATTGCTATGCTTCTGGTTCTGGCAATGGCGTCCGTGTGGTCTCGACTGGTCTGGCATCTTTTACTTTAATACTTTTATTTTTGTTGTGTTTACAAAAACCTGATTAACCTGTCACTTTTAATCAGATTGCAGGAGAGATGCGGTTGACTTGCTGCTCAAGGCGTCAGGATACTTGGAGTTCTGCGACCGAGAGATTCTGACTCAACTTCCTCCTGATATAAAGTATGAAGAACAAATACAGAAAATCCAGAATCACATTAAACTTACATATCTGCAAATTTGCTATCTGTCTGCAGGAATAAACTGCCAGATGATATGCAGGAAAGTGTATTACAAACTCTCTCTATCCAAGCACTTGGCCAGGTTACACACACACACACACATACTTTGAAACTGTGACTCCTAAACTTGAATCTTGTATGGTTTTTAATCTGTAAGTTTGGTTGAACCTCACTGAAGGGAACTGAGATTCAACTTGGATTGGCAGTTGATAGCCAGAAAGCAACATTATCTGTGAAGAGGAGAATTGCATGTGAGCAAGTCATCTACTTCACTCAGGTCCTTATAGTTTAATAATCTTCACCTTCTTATAATTGGGGCATGGTTTTGGGACAATCATGGGTTTTTTGCTCTTTTTTTGTAAATTGATCCCATTATCATTTCAGGCATATCACTGCTTGTCTAGTTGTGAAGCAGTTAGCCATGGATGCGCCAAGAAGCTTCTCCGGTTTATCTACTGGAAGTTTCTGGAAGCAAAGGTATGTATGTATAATGTATACATATGAAAGCTATTATTGAAAGTGATCGCATCTATGTTCAATCTCTCTGTTATGTTCTGTTTTTTCTTTACAGGCTGCAGCATACTACTACCATGGACTGGTAACAGACAAGGGAAGTGAGCCGGCTTGTCACGTGAGCGCGGTGTGTTGTTTCCTTGCAGCTGCAGAGATCCTAGGAGAAAGCAAGAAGGCCTGTCTTAGCTTCTGCTTAGCTCCTCCTGTCACAAGGTTTGTGTTGTTGTGTAATATCCAAACATGTGAACTGTGATTGATTAAGAATTTTTGTTTTTATCAGGGCTCCTCCTATGTGGGGTGTTATGAAGCATTTGAGCCAGAAGATTCCAGAAGTTGCTTTTAGAAAGTCTCAGACGTATGGATACTTGCTTGAAGAAGAAGAGAAGTAAGTCGTTAAGAGTGTTGTCTTTGTAGCGTCTGTTTAAACTAATTAGAATCAAACAAGATTGCTGATGATATGATAAAACCACAGGGCAATGCAGTGTTTGCCAGAGCTTCCAGACTTTCAGTTGTCATTGAGACCAGACGATTTTGAACTGCCTGAAATGGAGGATGTCTCTCCCGCATGAAATCAGACTCATTTGCTTAGAGAACATCTTGACTAGTACTCCTCTGAGAATCATGATGATAGTGACCTTGATCGTTGAGCAAGAAGCAACTCTCTACACATATTCTTTGAGTATTTTACCACTTATAATTGTAATGTAATATTTTGTATTCTTCTCAGACAAAATCTGATACTTCTACTTGAGTATAGTGTGAGTGACTACTTATTTTCTTTGATAAGAAATTTGGAAGGAAAAAGAAATAAAAGATGCTGATAAAGAAGGCGTTTAGCTATGTTGGAGAAGAAATGGTTGTTATGTGAGGCGCTAAAAAACGGCACGCATTTAAATTGGAAATAGCATTATAACCGCAACGTCACGTGAGTTAGTCACGTGTGGGTGATGATGATTGAGATGTTGGATTCCACACGTACAAGGACGAAGTGGTTGTTGTGTGAAGCGCATAGAAACGGCACGCACTTTACTAGTCTTAATTTGGAAAAAAAAAAAAGCAAAATAACCATAACGTCATGTGTGGGTGATGATGAGATGTTGGATTCCACACGTACCAACTTTGTAGAGGCGGCTAGGGATTTCGACGGCGGTAGTGGTAATGATCTCCGATAAAGACATAATCGTATTTTTTTATCTCCCAATTAAGAAACCAATCAACGTTAATTGTGTAGTAATTGGGTAAGACAGCGATGAAGAAACGCAAAAAGATTCTGATTATCACTCATCACCTGTCGCATTTCTAATTAGCTAGCCTAAAACAAGCGAAATCAACGGTGACGATCGTTAATCCATCAAAGAGAAAAGTATCATCATCAGAAACTTAAAACCGAAACGATCATCGTCGTCATAAGTAATATCCAAAAAAGGTAGCAGCTAGTTATCAAAAGCAGGACATGAACTCTACTACATAGCTCCGAAGTTGTACTTAAAAGCTAGAGTCATCTGAACAAAAAAAACAAAACAGAGAGAAAAAAAAAGCAGAGATAACTTATAAACGGAGAGAAAGGTCGAGATCGAGAGGCTCGTCTTCTTCCATGACGCCGTTGCCGTCGTTGTTACCGGATAGTCCAAACGGGTACACATACGGAAACGGATTAAACGGATCGTACCCACCCATCGTCATCATCGTCGTCTGCTCCTGAACCGGTTCGCTTCCAGAAGTAGATCCTTGAAATGGGTTTTGGTAAAAGCAAGGGTAAGGACGAAGAAACGTGTTGTCGTCGAGGATGGGTGGAGAGTTAGCAAGGACGCCGAGGTTACGACGAGCAGCGGCGCGTTCGCGTTTGTGAGCGTTTTGGTGACCGCCGAGAGCTTGAGATGTGTAGAACTTGCGGGGACAGTACTGACACGGGAAGAGACGGTGGGAAGTCGGATGTGAAGAAGAGGAGAAAGAGTGACGTTTGCTCGATGATCGAGGTTTTGCAGGACTCACGAAATGATGGTAAGACGGTGGTGGTTCCGCCATTTTTGAGAGCTTTTTAAGCTACAGAGAAGAGAGGAGAGAGATGATAGAGAAGATGAGAGTAAAAGTAAAAAAGCGAGAGAGAGAGAGAGAGAGAAGAGTGAAGGATGTGTGGGTTTTATGGGAAGGGTTTAAGCTGTGGTTGCTTTTTGTTTGTTTGCATCGTTTGTTGCAGAGAATATTTGGTTTGTAAATTACTTTTATGCCCTCAGCTTCTTTTCTCTCTAACGGATTTCACAGATCCCAATTAATCCTTTTTGCTCCATCGTTATTTGCATGCTGCTACACGAACACGAGGGTCGTTTTCTATACTAAAGAATTTATCACAAATTCGGATGCAAATTAAATTAGTTCTTTCCTTAGTAACAACAACAAATATATGTATTGAAATAAAATCATGTATTTTTGTAACAAAAAAAAAAAAACGTGTTAGAGAAGACTAATAAAATCGTTTAGTCAGTCATTGGAATAAAGAAGACTAATTAAATGTCAGAGAAGAAAGTATTTATTCGAGAGTAATTAAAGAGTAAAAAGAGGTTAATTATAAAGATCGAAATCTTTCGTCGTTGAGAAAAACAGAGAATGGAGTGGAAAGAGAAACAGAGTTTGTTGTTGTTGATGGGACGATCACAGTACTCTCTCTCTTTCATTTATTTGCTTTTCAAAAATAACATTAAAAAAAAAAAAGAGAGGGATTGGTTGCTTTATGGTGTTGGAGAGAGAGAACGACACGTGCTGACTAGACAGTTGTATGCAGTACAAGTGAGTGAACGAACACTCTCTCACACTTCCAAACTCATTAGCATTTTGAAAAATCGTAAGTAACACATCACTTTTTTTTTTATCAAGTTTAAGCGTTTTTGATTTGATGGTACCTTATTTGTTGTTGTTGTTGTTGTTGTTGTGATATATGCACAAAGAAGACAACAGAGACAGTGAATCAAGTTCCAAGATGGAATTGCCAAACAAGGAAGGTTTCTATGTTTCTCTTGCCTTCTTTCGTTTTTTTCCATTCTCTCACTACTTACCTATCTATCACTCTCTCTTCTTTGCTACTCATCATTATTTATCGCCTTTCTCATTACTTCATGGATTTTCTCTTTTATTTTACACATACTTATTTCTTCTGTTTCACCTTTTACGGCCCATATGCAGGAATATATACAAAGGCCCGTTAACTTTAAGTATTTGTCTATCAACTAGAGGCTTTTGAAACCTCTATGTTAGAGGCTCACATAGAGTTCTATAGCAATGTGGAAAAAAAAAAAAAGAGTTCTATAGTAAAATGTGTTAATCAATTGGGTAGACCGGCATCTTAAATATATCTACATATTTTTTTTAAACAACTCACGTTTAGTTAGGATACAAATGGATTTGAATTAATGTATACTAGATTTTACTCCGCGGTATACCGCAGATCGATTTTTTAACTAAAATATTAAATTTTAAATTATATTTTTAATATTTTTATTTTGTTAAGTGTTTAAAATTGTATAATTGTAAATTCAAAAAAAAAAAATTGTATAATTGTATTTTGATTGTTAATTTTAAGATTTCATCCGTAATACTAATATCGATCCAAACTCGTCCCACTATATAACCCCGTCCCGTGAAACTAAACATCATTTTGTTATTTTTAATAATATTTTATTTAATAGACATATAATTCGAGTCAATTTAAAAGATTGATTTTATATATTTCTAAATTTTAGTTAATAATAATTAATTCTATATAATGATTTTTGAATTAATTGCGTATGACCGACGGTCAAGATTGAAGATTAAAAACCAGATTAAGATTTGAATGACCACGATTAAATTTAGGGATTGTTGAGATATTTTAAAGAAATCGAATTGAATATGGATGTAACTGTGGCAAGGATTAGTTATGCTTAATATCTATATATACATTTTTGGATGACTTTTAGCAAATAAATCCTGGAGTTGGACCTTATTTACGGATGAATGCCATTGGCATTAATTATTTAAATTTGAAAAATATTAATTAAAGATATTACCAATACGATTTCGAGAATCATAAATTCATATCTTCCTTAATTTTCTGAGTCATTAATGTGATAATCTTTAGGAAATATTTCTCTGTAAAAAAAAAAAATCCACATTAATGAAGGCATTAAAATCGACACTAACAATTAAATTATTTAGATGTTCAATTATTTTAAGATTCTTATATCTTATTTGATATTTTTTTTTAATATCTCATTCTTTAATTACTGCGTTTAGAATTTATTGGTTGTTACCTATTTTTTGGTGAAATTTATTGGTTGTTACTTAATAAGTAATTATGGTGCGTTTATTTTAGTTAATATCTAATTTAAAGGATTTGTTTTCTTTTATTATTAATAAACGAATAACATGTATAGAAATAAAAGATTTTTCTTGCGACTCCATAATAAAAATATTAAACTCTTATTTTCTACATTTCTTACACATAATATCCTCTTATTCAATAGCAAAAAATATATATTGCATATTTTTAAAAATATTTATAATATTTAAATTATATAAAAAGTTTGTAATATTAATATTATTTCAACTCTATACAAATTTAATATATATGTATATATATCTTATGGGAACCATTTAAAAGAAATTTTTAAATTGACTTGAATTATATAGCTTTTAAATAAAAGTATTATTAAAAAGAAAAATAACTAAATGATGTTTAATTTCACGGGACGGGTAATATGATGGGACGGGTTTGGGTTGATATTTATAAAAGATAGTATACCACGGGTGAAATCCTAAAATTAACAATCAAAATAATCTATCAAACAAATTACATTTTGATTTTTTTAAGAAAATATAGCCCCGCGGTGTACCGCGGGTTAAAATCTAGTATTAGGTTAAAAATTTTGGAAACGAATTTTTATATTAATATTTTTGATTTAATTTTGAAAATCTAAATAATTAATGTCAATGACATTTGATCACAAATAAGTTGGAACTCCATTATTTATTTCATAAATGTCTCCAAAAATGTATATATAGATTACAACAACGATAAATAGTAACTTACACGATCAATCGAATCTACATTTTTACTACTTATTGAGCATGAATATATTTTGTATATAATTTAGATTCAAATCTGATTAACAAAAAACATAATATAATGTTTTTGAGGTAACTAAGTCGTGTTAGTCAAAATAAGAAACGTTTGCTTGAAATTGAAGCAACCCCACATTTAATTTTACCTTTTGTGGCTCAAAAAAGTAGATTTGCTTTCTCTGCTAAGCATTTTCCAAAAGCCCATTGGCACCAAGTTACCTCTTCTCACACACAATTACACCTATATGTTCACATTCACTTTTCACTTAGTGTCTCTTCATCATTTCATTACTTATTTGTTTTTATTAAATGCAGCTAACTTTGTTACACAATTTTCTTTGATTACATTTGAAAACCAAGGATGCTTCGATTAAAAGCAAAGAAGGACATGTTTATGGTAATATGTGTATTTGTGTGGGAAAGAGGAGAAACTTAGATTGCCTTAATCGATGTTGTCTTTTTCTGGATTTTACATTGGAAGATGGTGCACAATGCACATGTGACTTGTCTTTGACCTTCTCCACCATTTTTGTCTATTATTTATTTTACAATTGATAAGATGTATACAATAAAACTAACATAAGCTTTGTATATTCAATCATTACAATGTTCACATATATATACCCATGTTATGTCCACACTCTGTCAATATTTTCTCTTTTGTTACATTATATTGAACCTTTTGTTTTGGCCCACATGATACATTATTTTCTTTTTCAACGAATATATTATATCGAATTCGTGACACAACGACATTTTAACACAAAACCATTATATTGTATGGTTTTGTCGATATATGTTTTTGTATATAGTTGGAAAAGTTTCGGGTATATATATGTATAACTCTACTAATTCATGCAAACATATGTACAACTTTCGTTATATAGATCTACGATGTTTCTTTCTACAACTCACACATATTATCATATTTAACAAAAGATGTTGGCTTCTGATAAATTTTAAATGTTAAAATACGTGTCAATGACCATAAATGTATCTATATGTTTTGATTAAATAATATGGTTCGACACGAAGAACTTCAGCTTCTCGACACCCCATGCGATGGCTTCTTCGTTTTTCCCATTTATTTTAATTTCAATTTCAACTCTTTCTTTTGTCTCCTTGCTCTTTCTAACACACAAATTTATAAAACTTTATTAATTTGATATACCTTAAATACAAAATGCATCTCCATCCCATATTAGTGAATTAATTTTCCATACTTACTGATATAATAATATAACAAGTCTATATAAATCGTTTCTATAATTATTTCTTATACATAGATGCTATGGATTCTTATGAGGTATGAAAAGAAAAGGAATCAAGTTCTCATCCATGAGAAAGAAAGATACCTCCTTTTAATTCAACTTTACTTCGTATTCCTCAGCTATATCACTTTACTTGTATGATAATGTTAATTAAAATATATACTTTCAAGTAAAAATAATCAACAAGTTTGACATATATCTGGTTTTGCTCAACGAAAGTGCAAATCTCAACTTATACAATACAACAATTTCAGATCAAAATGAGCTCCCCTAGCCCCATGTTACTTATTTCTCTAACAAATAAATCAAGACGTGGAAAAATTTGAAATAGCTTGACAGAAACGTAAGTAGACTAGTAGTAGGTTAGGGTTTAGGAGCTTGTCACAATCCCAACGTTTCCTATGAGATATAAATTACTCATCAGCTGAGGTAGGAGGAGAAGGCGGTGGCGGACCGGTTTCATGATTGGACCCAACCGTAAAATGGTGGACGCAACTCAATTCTTCATCATCTCCCTCTCTTGATTTCCTCTGTTTTCTTCCTTTCGATCCTTTCCTCTCATAAACATTGTACACTGCCCATTCTCCAAACACCTGTTTAATTCATTATTATTATCACACATTCTAATGTCTTTCTTATAATAGTTTTAAAGTGATTAATTTGTGTACCTTAGCCGATGCAAATCCCGCAAGGCAGTACTCTGTCATGCTCCATTTGGTTTTGTTGCAATTAGAAGAAGACTTGTTTGTTTCATAGAAAGCAAGTGTTCTTCTAATCCCAAATGTTTTACCACAGGCAATGATTGGTCTCTCTTTCCCAATAGGTTTCCAATATCCATCACCAGATGGAATCTTGATTCTATGCTCATTACTTGACACTTCTCTCTTCTTGCAAAAGAAGTACCTCTGCTTCTCTTTTTGGTCCCCTGAAAGCAAGAAACCTTCATTTTTAGCATCATAAACACACGGATCTAGACCCAAACATCAAACATTTGTAAAGTTACAACCTTCAATAGACCCTTTTGAACAAAAACAGTTAAGGAAAACGAGGAGACATATATATATATATATATATACATATAGAGGCTTTGACAGAAGGAACAGAGAGAGAGAAAGAGACCTGGGAAAGTAAGAGGATGAGAGAAGAAGAGGTCAAAGACAGGGATGATGGAGGAAGGCAAAGGAGAAGCAAAGGCCTTTGGGAGCAAGTAATGAAGGATAAGCTCTTGCTCCGTTGGGTGAAACCTGTATCCTATTGGCAATCTCATGCCTCCATTCACTACTATCCTCTTCTCCAC